AAATGCTTTCAACATTCAGTCGTCATGCAAAGTGATATACAAATGTAAGTCTTTCAATCTTCCTTCAAAATATACTATGGGATCCTCCAATATTCAATGAGGGACCAGGGTTTAATATGAACCATGAAAGCTGCAGCTGCAAAAGTGCAACTCCCACACTGCATCGGGGCATTAGTTTGGAATACATGATCAAGTCCCTGGAGAGGAAATCAAATGCACAACATTTTGAACCCCAAACTAGAAAGAGTAGTCACTGAGCAAAAACGGAAACATTTTTCTCAATACTTAACTATTACATATTCTAATCCAAAGTTACCACTCTTCTAACCCTACAAGCACTTTTCTCTCCGCACTGATTTGAATTGAATTTGGCTTTTTTCAAAACCTACACACCACCTACTTTAAAGAAAGTGTTTCCATGACTGGCAAGGAGAGCGTCGGACCGGGGTTTGTTCTTGCTGTACAGTGCATACATCCCGAATTGCTCTTCCTAGATGAACAAAGTAAACAAATTAAAATTGCAAACATTAGGATAAACAGACAGTGCTGCATGGTTCCAAATGTATTCAACAAACACGTAGTTAAACCACATTCTCAGACTCGGAACCTGCTCATTAAACTCATCTTGAATCGAATTTGCTCGTCTCAATAAAACTCCCAAACTATTTTAAATGCTGCTTTCAGGTACTGCAGACTCAGTGGATATTCTCGATAAATGAGGAAGAGAGCACTTTGATTTCACCGCGGTTCTTTAATTTTCTCAATTTTAACTACGGCAGAGTTAATAGTCACTCAGGCATATCCATTTTATACCCAACAGTTTATGATTTTTAACAGTTGTGGAGGGGCTGGAGTCACTGGGCTGACTTCATATGTGTAATGCTCCTTTCACAAATTGTCCTAATCCAAAAAGTAGACCTTGTTTTTTAACCTCCACGCTGAACAAAGAAAGTTTTCAGACTGACTCGATGGTTTCCTGGCTGGGGGAGAAGGGTGTATTGCAAAGACAGCAAACAATTTGAAAGGGTTTGCACCTCTTTTTTCTGTAGAATCCCTACAATGTGGAAATAGGCCCTTCGGCTCAACAAGTCCACACTGACCCTCAGAGCATCCTCTTATAATCTACCTAATCCACACATCTGTGGACACTATGGGGCAATTTAGCATGGCCAATCCACCTAACCTGCACATCTTTGGACGGTGAGAGGAAACTGGAGCACCCGGTGGAAACCCACACAGACATGGGGAGAATGTACAAACTCCACACAGTTTTTTTTTAAGAAACGTAGTTAACAAGCTTAAACCGTTCAGATGTTCCCTGATCTTGTACATCTTTCCTGTCTTCAGTTTCTCTCATTTTGCCTCCTTTTGTCTTTATCATTTCCTTTGATGAACCAGCTCCTGTTTTTTTTTTATTATATAGACTCCCTACTGTGTGGAAACAGGCCCTTTGGCCCAACAAGTCCACACCAACACCTGAACGGCAAAACACCTCAGCAGTAACTTTGTGAAGGCATTATAAAATGGAAACGACACGCTTTTCCTGCTTCTAGGCAGGAGATTTGAGCGGAAGAGGGCAGCTAGCCTGGTGCTGTTCTCCCTCCCGTTCCTGCAGGAGTCTGAATCGACCCCACACCATAGCTGGATACATTCTGAACTATCAGGCAGAGCAGTACACTTGTTCAATCAATCAGCCAGACTGTGACAGCACTATAAACGCACAGAGGATGCAGCAGCCTTGGCATGCATGAGGCAGCGTGTGCCATATTTACAGCCTGATGCTTTTCTGCGATGCTTCTTCCCATTTCTGGGCCGGCAGATTGCTCATAGGAACTCCCAAAGGGGGCGTCCTATGTCTATTGCTGACAAGCCTGAAAACACGAGGCAGGCAACAGAATGAGCTGTACAGGTACTGAGTGCAACTGAATCAGAATGTGTGAAGCATGCTGAAGGGATAGAAGACTGGTAAAGTGATGCGTCTCATTACATCTTTTGGTTTTGAGGCTGTGACATGGGGCTAAAAGAATATCATGGGTATTTGCCACACAACACAAAGGGTATTAGAAATATCACCAAAGCCATTTTGATGTAAATAATAAGGCATCCCTTGTGAACATCTTAAATAGATATTAAGGCATAATACTTCATTAGTGATAAATCCAAAAGCTCCAAATCTCACAATGCAAAGTTTTCGGTATCTTACTATGCCTTTGAACTGAGCTGTGTGATAACTACAAGCTGTTCTTCCCACGAGCTTTACGACTTTAGATGATTACATTGACGCTTCTCAAAACCACACAGATTGTCACCTTCACACCATCTCATTTGCAGTTTATTAAAATCACATGGTGGAGTCCACATTCGCACTTCCTGGTTCCCATGATATCCTGCCAGAAAACAATGAATTTCATCCACCTTGGTCTTTCTTGCTGCCTTAGGCCAGGTTTTGCTCTGGCAGCAACTGCGCTCAGGGAGCCTCCTACAATTTCAAGTTAAAACTGGATCGCAGCAATCAAGGTGCAAGTTTCACATTTTCTCAAGGTCTCTCCTGCCTCGGGAGGATAGTCTCCTGGCTGCCAGAAGCTGTGCAGTTAAACTGGTGAGGCGGAGGAATGTTTTGCCAGTCTAGCGGTTTCTGCCCAGCCACCATTTTAATGCCCTTGTCTCCATTGTTTCCAATAGATGGATTGGGCTAAACTTGGACGTTGTGTTTTAGTTGATGGACAATAGATGGGGCTTCATAACTTTGCTTTTAGTGCGTTGGACTTTGTGATGAACAAAGTGGTACAAGAGATTGAAAAAGGGCCTATCTCAGGGCTTTGTTGACATATATTGCACAAAAGAATAAAGTTCTGTTAACACGCCCTTGATACACTTGATTTTCTATTCAGTAGCACTGGACAAATGTTCCCCTTTGTGTGTTTCATATTTCAAATTAACTCCAAACAAAAACATTGCTTAGTAGGAATGGATGGGGACTTACATGCTTGAGGAAGCACTGACTGACTTGAAGCGGACCGTTGGTGCAGTTCTCGAGTTCCTTCAGAAAGTACTGGCAATGAAAATCGTAGAGCTTCTCCAGATTCCCAAATATGATAGTGCGCTTTCCACGCAGATCCTGGGGCAGGTCCAGTCTCTCCATCTCTGGAAAGTAATGGTCTATGATATATCCAAGGGATTTGACATACTCCCTCTCTGTGCTGATCATTTCATCCATTATATGCTGCAGCTTACTGCGGGGAAATAAAGGAGGACACCCAGTTTGAATATCTTTTAGCAGTGTGAATAGATGCACAAATGATCTTGGACTCATCCATTGTATTTCATCCTATGACTTGGTAGATCTGTCCTGTTAAGCTTTGAAAGTTGAATGGGGTTACAAATCCTATGAATTGACTCTTGATACATAGGCTGTATCATTTGTGAGATAGTTTCAGTTCTTTTTCAAGTACGCAGAATGTATAGCACAGAAACAGGTCATTGAGCCAAACAAATCTATAAACTATTTATACTCAATGCTCTCCCTTAGCACCCTTCCTCATCTAACCCTGTTAGCATAAACACCTATCTCCTTCTCGCGTAAATGCTCATCAAGATTCACTTTACATACATCTTTGATATTTGCCTTCCTGATAGTAACAAATTGCACAGTGTAAATACTCCCTTGGTAAGGAAACTAAATATATTTGAATCCTTCCATGGAATACCCTGCCATCATGCTAACTAATTAAGTTATGACTTCCAAGATTATTTAACTGGGTAACCACCATCGAAAAGGTCATAGTTGAGCTGACATGGATCTCGATTACTCTCGAGCTAAGTATAATTTTGTCAAATCAATCAACTTTCATATTGACATGACTGCTTTGTTGCTAATGCAGGATCTCCAACAGAAAGTTGAAATTCTACATTCTGTCTAAAAACATGTAGCCCCAATTTTTATACTCTTCCAACTGAGAGATTGTGAAATAAGATTTCCACCATGTGTTGAAAAATTAATGTCACCAGTCTGAAAAATTAATATCTGAAATAAGAATGCAACTTCTGGAGGAAATTTTATAACCTTGGAATCTGAAGTAATGCAAGGCACTAATTTGAATTCTTAAAATATATCCTTACAACCACACCAACTGGTTCAATACCAAGTCAGTGCATCCCAGTGGTCCAAGATTCAGACTAAATTTCATCAGTGATTGGCAGAGAGACGTCAGCACAAAATGAAGACTTTGTCTCTCTGTCATCTGGAAATCTAGTTACCATTCTCCCTAGAAGGTTGTGGGTGTTGAGGTCATACAGTCGTAGAGCCATAGAGTTGTACTAGAGGGAAACAGACCCTTTGTCCAACTTGTCCATGCTGACCAGATATCCTAAACTAATCTCGTCTATTTGCCAGCATTTGACCCATATCCCTCTAAGCCCTTCCTATTCGTATACCCATCCAGATGCCTTTTAAATATTGTAATTGTACCAGCCTCCACCACTTCCTCTGGCAACTCATTCCATACATGCACCACCCTCTGCATAAAAAAGTTGCCCTTAGGTCCCCTTTATATATTTCCTCTCTCACCTTAAAGCTATGCCCTCTAGTTTTGGACTCCCCCACCCTATCCCTGCTCCCCATGATTTTATAAACCTCTATAAGGTCATCCCTCAACCTCAGACTCTCCAAAGAAAATAGCCCTGGCCTATTCAGCCCCTCCCCATTGTTCATACCTCCAACCCTGGCAACATCCTTGTAAATCTTTCCTGCACCCTTTCAAATTTAACAACTTCCTTCCTAAAGCAGGAAGACCAGAATCGAATGCAGTATTCCAATAGGGCCCTCACCAATGTCCTGTACAGCTGCAACCTGAAGAAAGCCGCAATAAATAGATTTTTAATCGTGTAAAGTCACCAAGGAGGAGTGGTAGTTAAATCTAACTGAGAAAGAAAACAGCAATGATCAAAATGAACAGCACAACAGGCTGGAGGCATCGAATGACCTATGGTAGTTTAGGTTGATAGTGCAGAGCCTTCTCAGAGTTAAAGCTGGAAATATTTCCAATTATTGCATCAATGTTCTGATGACTAATGAAATCATTACCTCCCGGTTCGCTTAGCTTCTTCTGCATGTGGATGGAGCATCCTGGAAGATATCGGTAAGCTGCGAGTCCTGGTCAACACCGGGCTTTTTAGCTCTGATCTGAAAACCCGATTTTTGTCAGCCACCACATTGCTGACCACCTCCAAGCCTTTGATGTAAACTCCGGTGTTGCCGTGCCTGCCAGCTTCAATGTGGCTACTCTCTCGTTGCCACAACTCAAAGCTCTGGGCCTTCTTCATGATCTTTTTCAACGGCTGCTTCTTGTGCCGAGGTGCCAGTGAGCAGGCAGGCTCCGAGTGGCAGGATGAGGCAGATGAGCTCGTGGCGCAGTTGTCGAGATCTTTGTAGAAGATGCTGCCGCCGCATAACCTGCCACCAGCTGGAATCGAGGATAGAGAGGTCGTGCTGAATTTAGACGATGCGTCGACACTTTGGCGGGACTCTTCATAATGTGATGGAGCGGGGCATTCTGATGCCACAAAAACCTGATCGTGTTCCTGATGATGCACTGACTCATCAGGCCACGTGCCGTTCTCCATATTCTCTGTGGCCTTTTGAGACAAAGAGTCTCCAAGCTCATCAGATCCTTCTGTGTCAAACTCACCGCTTGTCCGGGGACCGTCATCCTCAGAGTCTACTTTAGTGGCCAAGTTGTTGCTGTGGCCCTCATGGATTCTGATAGCAGTGGCCAAGACCTCTTCCAAAAGATGCCTTGTTTGTTGGCACTTCACCCACTGGAAGTTCCACTGCTTCAATTCTCTAGCGCTGCCGAGGCTAAGGACCATCTCGTTCATCTCCTGGAAGTTTTCTGCATTGAACTTGACAGCATCCTGGTGGTATCTTTCCAAGCTCTGAACCACAGCTGTGGTACAGTCTAAGGTGCTTTGCTCGTCCACTTTCAACTGCCTTAGGTAATCGTTGCAGTGCAAAACCCACTGGTCAGCCTAATAATGAAAGCGGAAAAGATCACAATAAGTAAGAAATGAAACTATATTTTCCTTTTAGTGACAGTCACCATTTCTTTGTTTCAGGATTGATCAATCCAAATCAATTTATTTCTTTAAGAGATCACACAACTTTTTTAAAAGTCACAAAAAAAATGCAATCAGTAAAACAGAGAGAAAAGTACTTCAAGTAAAGGAATTCCCTCACCTCATGGCAAATTTGTATAGAAAACGTATAGAATTTAATATACACATGTAGTAGTCTGTAGACAATAAGAAAACAAAGGAGCAAATAGGACTTATAGAATCCCTAGAGTGTGGAAGCAGGCCATTTGGCCCATCAAGTCACACTGACCCTCAGAAGGGCATCCCATCCAGACCTACCCCTATCCTATCTTTGTAACCCTGCATTTCCCTGGCCAATCCACCTAACCTGCACACCTTTGGACTGTGGGATGAAACCGGAGCAAACCCACACAGCCATAGGGATAATGTGCAAGCTCCACACAGACAGTTGCCTGAGGGTAGAATTGAACCCAGGTCCCTGGCACTGGGAGGCAGCAGTGCTAACCATTGAGTCACTGACCATACCACCCAACTGGTAGACATTTCAACAAAGCACATTCATGTCTAACAGACTTTTTAACAGATGCAAAAGTTTTGCGAAATACAACAAGATCACAAATTATTTTTGGGATTTAAGTGGACTGTAACTGGCATATCTATAATAGAAAAGGATTAACTTTTCAGGGCTGATTCCCAACTGATGGATTGTAAATAGAGTTTTAGCACAAGGTCAACAATGGGACCTACACAACTGTTGAGTACAGGTTGTTCTGTTACAAAGCATGTTTCTTTGACGCGAATCAGCTGTAATGTGACTGATGAATACTGGACGCTGTTTGGATAACGCAAACTTTCTGCTGTACAGGTATAGCAATTTTCTATAGCAATTTCCCTATAATGCGATCTTCTATGGCAATTTCCTGTAGCGCAAGGTCACGCAAGACGGCAACTATCACATTCTAGGTGAACTACCTGTACTCAAAACCTTATATTAACCCTTATATTTAATGAAGGTAACATCCAACCTCATGCTGCAACTCAAAATTCCTAATATTCAAAATATTGTCAGATTTTATAATGATAATTTTTTTCTGTTTTGTTTAACAAAGGTCTTACATACAATTAACTAGTAGAAAAAGTCCCAATAACATAAACAGCAACACAGTCAACAAAACAGAGAGCAAATCAGTGGTGACAGATAAAAGCTGCACTATAAGCCACTTACTGTCTCATAAAATTCATGCAAATTCACTATGTTGTCCAAATCTGTCCTCCACTTTTCCAGCCTGTTGATGAAGTTACTTAAAAACTGCTTGAAATCGTTGACTTTTTCACCCAAGTATCGCAGCTCTTTGTGTGTTTGACCGTTTAGATGGCCAGCATCTTTGATCAATTGCATGCCCCTTTTGTATTGTTGCTGTAAAACAAAATCACAATTAAAGTCTGCACTCAACTGTGATCTACCTTGTCTGTCTCATAGTTCAAATGACACCATAATACATCCCTGATCTTTTGAAGAAAAAAATCCATTTCACTCTTACATTTACTGTCATTATATGTACATATATGTTTTGCTATTGTTTCATTGCTTGTGCATTTGATCTTTTTATTCATAAGTGGGAGATGTCAACAGTTACCTTTTGAAACGGTGGTGCTCTTAATATAGCTGTGACCATTTGTCTGGACATGCTAATGTACAACTTGCATTTATACACTGTGAAACACTCCAAGGAGCCACAGAGGGACAATTATCCATCAAAATTTGGCATGAAGTGACATAGGGAAATATTAGAATAAAGGACCAAATGTTTAGTCAAAGAGCAACGTTCTAAGAAGCTTTTCAGATAAGGTGAATGAGATTGCAAAGACATTCCGAGAGGGCTTTTCAGCGTTTTTGGTCTCCCTGGCCAGTTAAAGGTATTCCATCTTTTGGTGGAACAAGAAAGTTGTGAATAAGCAAGAGACTAAAATTGGAGGATGCACTAATTTTGGAGGGTCTTAAGTCTGGAGGAGGCTATAGAGGTAGGGAGGAGGAAAATCATGCAGGGATTTGAAACAACCATGGGAATTTTAAAATCAAAGTGCAGCCATACCAGAAGTCAATGTAGCTCAACAAGTACAGGAACAATGAGAGTTGAGTTTGGGGCTGAGTTGATGAAAAGGCAACAGAGGGTTTCTCCAAAAGAGATGAGCACCTATCTATCCACAGGGATAGCAAGAGATGCAGATGCTGGAGTCAGAGATAACACAGTATGGAGCTGGAGGAACACAGCAGGCCAGGCAGCACCAGAGGAGCAGGGAAGCTGACGTTTCGGGTATTTTTCTGAAAAAGGGTCCTGACCCGAAACGTCAACTTTCCTGCTCCTCTGATGCTGCCTGGCCTGCTGTGTTCATCCAGCTCCACACTGAGTTATCTATCCACAGGCCTCTTTTTGCAGCAATGAACCTCAGAGAGCAGTCTATTAGATCACACCACCAACAAATCCAGCAAGTATTAAAAGATGCCTCACAGCTGTCAAGAAGTCATAGAATCCCTACAGTATGGAAACAGGCCCTTCGGCCCAACAAGTCCACTCCGAACCTCACAGCATCCCACCCAGACCCATCCCCC